ATTTGAGAGTGAGTATTCGCATTCCTCCATTTTCGAGAGGGCGAGACGATCCAGGTTTTATAGTGTGGGCCGCATGCCATCTCTTCGGAGGGTGTTAATTAGTTGGCGAGGGTAAGTCTAGGTCGATCGTTGATTGAACAGTTTTGCCTTGTAAATAACTATGCAATGACCGTACGCAGCTGAATGAGAGGTCCCGAAATTTATGACGTCATTAAATTCTGCATGCTTTGTCGCCTTCGCCTTGTTCAAATTTATCCCGGGAAACCACTGCTTCAATCTACTGAAAAGATGCCTCCCGGTCCCTCTCATCAAGTCGCTAGATCAGGTCGTCAGATTAAGATGCAAGATCACCCGAGAAAAGACTAGATATGAATTCCTACAATCATGTAGACAGACTCGGACTTACCCTCGCCAACTAAGCAACACCCTCCGAAGAGATGGCATGCGGCCCACACTATAAAACCTGGATCGTCTCGCCCTCTCGAAAATGGAGGAATGCGAATACTCACTCTCAAATCTGCGCTGCCAGCTAGACCAGTCACAGCATGTGATGGACTCGGTGAGTCCAATGTGTTGGTTATTGTTTACAAAATACGTTCTAAACTTGCAAGCTAAAGTAAGACAATCGTCCCACGCTGATCTGATGAAGTCGCTAAATAGACAACCCGTAGACGAATCGTTTACAGTAAATCCAGATGACTACATTGTCAACATGTCGAATTTGAAGCTGACTAAACTGCAAGCCGAGGCCCTCTCTTTAGGACTTAAGTTTTGTGTGCCGAGAAGAAAAATAGATCCGACGGAGATTGAGGCTCAATTTGAAGACCTATATCACCAATTATCGGAATTAACACCGACGTCAGAGGACAACGTGAGATGGTTGAAAGCGAAATTCGTAGATATCGCCTATCAATACAGAACTTTCCCGACTACGCAACGCTCACTGCTAACCAGACAACACATCTCGGCCCTAACTGACCTACGTAAGACTACTGAAGTCGTCATCTCAAAACCTGACAAAGGAAGCGGGGTCGTGATCCTAAATAAGACTGATTACGTGAGAAAGATGGAAGCGATATTGAGTGACTCCAGCAAATTTTCCTCGGAAGCCCATGAGAAAGAAGAAACCAAAGCGCTAGAAGACCTTATTGGAAAAAAAGCTTAAATCGTTACTTGAAAAGCAAATTATAGACGAGAACTTGGCTGCGTGTCTTAAGCCTGTAGGGTCGCATATTCCCAGACTATATGGACTGCCAAAATTGCACAAACCAGGGGTACCATTACGACCGATTCTATCAATGAGGAATTCACCTCAACATAAACTTGCCCAATGGTTAGTGAAGCAAATCGAACCAATCAGACGCAACCTTGCCGTTTATACTACCAAAGATACTTTCTCCTTCGTAGATGAGCTTAAGCATCAGAATCTACTGAATAAACACATGATCTCGCTTGACGTGCAGAGCCTGTTTACAAACGTGCCACTGGATGAAACAATTGACATAATTTGTGAGCATGCGGGTGAAACACACCTACCACCAGAGCAACTACGGGAACTACTACAGATATGCACAAAGAATGTACAGTTCTTGTTCAACGGGCGGCTGTATCGACAGATCGACCGTGTAGCTATGGGCAGTCCATTGGGGCCAGTCCTAGCGGACATTTTTATGTCTAATCTAGAGCGAAAACTAGCTCGGGACTTACAACGAGCCTCATTCTATAGGCGATATGTGGATGACATTTTCGCTATAGTTAAAAACCCAGGCGACGGAGAACTATTGCTCAAGGCTCTGAACAAAGCACATGCAAAGATCAAATTTACGATCGAGCATGAGAAGAATGACACACTGCCTTTCCTGGATATTCTTGTACGTAGGCGAGCAGATGGCTCTTTTCAGAGATCCATCTATCGAAAACCCACCTGGAAAGGACAATACATGCACTTCCTCAGTTTCGTTCCAATTCAGAGAAAACGGAACTTGGTTTTGTGCCTGTTCAATAGAGCCGCCAGAATCTGCTCCTCAGATACGATCGATGGCGAGCTTACTTTCCTAAAAAACGTTTTTCTTGCAAATGGGTATCCGCAGAAATTCATCGATAAATATCGCCATCCCAGACAAGAAACTCCTGAAGAAATATCTGTACCTAAAAAGTCCGTGACCATCTACCTCCCCTTCAAGGGTGATAATGTGTCAAACGTGATCAAGCGACGACTTCGGTGCACTATCGAAAGGACGTATGCCGCCTCTAAATTGTTGTTCATAAGCACCACAACCGCCATCCCAGTTAGACCAGCTAAAGACATTTTGCCTATGCACGCCACATCAAACTGTATTTATGAGTTTACATGTAGTTGCGGATGCAAGTACATCGGGCGCACGCAAAGGCAATTGGCAGCTCGGTCAGCTGAACACATGCCAAAATGGCTGCTTAAAGCGGAAAATAAGGTACCCAGGAGCTCAATCACAAAGCACCTATTGGACACGGGCCATACGGTGGACCAAATGGTTGCATTCAAGGTCCTGTTTCGAGCGACGACCGGGCGTCTCTTGCGCTTCGCAGAGGCCGCTGCAATACGGAGGAGGAAACCAGAACTCTGTAAGCAGCTGGACCATGTGATAAACCTGGCACTGCCATGGTAATTATCGATTATGGACGAAACCCTGTTCCCATGTCCACCCTCTCATTTTGCCCCCCACCCGCCCTCCCCCCTCTCCCGGCATGACTGAATGCTCCCTGCACGTTGCACTCCAAATCACGCCGCACCAGTTCTCTCATACTTGGATGACTTCTCTCCCCCTCCCCCCCTCACCATATGCACCCGCATACTAGACCCATGTTTCAGGTTACCTATCACGTTTTAGCTCTCTAGGTCGATCGTTGATTGAACAGTTTTGCCTTGTAATATAACTACGCAATGACCGTGTGCAGCTGAATGAGAGGTCTCGAAATTTATGACGTCATTAAATTCTGCATGCTTTGTCGCCTTCGCCTTGTTCAAAGCTACGTATGTTCGCCACTCGTATGTTCCCGCCCGATGCGCCGCAACTTCCGACTTATATCCTGTCGCACATCGGCTTATCGAGCTTCTGTATTGCCATTCCTAGCGCGCTATCTTACGTGCGAAGAGACAGAAATACAGAAACTAAGACTTGAACTATCCGCATAATAATCGTTTCTTTGTGTTAAACTTTGACTCTTGAATAATTTATTAACTTATTTACTGCCCATAGTGAATGGAGCCAATTTTTTTGCTGAAAATTTTGAACATACGATTTCAAAATAAAGCGCATTCCTCTCTCTCTCTCTCACCTCGTCTTCTGAAAGCCGAAGACTTGACATAAAAAGTTTGCGCAAACTGATCTTTCTCGAATGCCCATGGCAAATGTCTACCCTGCGTCTGCTTTATCTCAGTTATTGTGGTGGTCTTTTAGTTGGTAGAGTTACCCGCTTCCACGGGTCATTTTTTGGCGGGTTCTGAGGTTGGGTTTACGCAAACCTGGGTCCAATTTCAAGATGCAGGCTTTCGGAAGAAACTACCACTGCGTGTCAACCTCATAGAAAACGGTTAAAAAGTGAATTGCTTTCCTTGCCACAGTGTTTGAAGCCGGAACGATTGCTGTCCCAGAGCAACTTTTTCATAACCCCAGACCTGGAATCAAAGCCCGAACGACACGACGATTGTCCATCAATTCCTAGTAACGTAATAATTATGCGTCATAATAACATACTAATAAGCGTATTTTAATAAGATTTGCTGCTTTGCGCGAGTTAAAAAATCTAACGGTTTTTCCCAAAATATCTATTGGAAATCTCTAAAAGGGAAGTCAGAGGTAACGGTCCTCAATTCCCAATTTTATTGACATTTATTCCAGCAAAACCTAATTTGATGCACACTGTCTGAATTTACGGAACTGTTCGTCAAACTACTCAACGCAATATAAACGCCTTTTAAAGTCTTGCATATAAATGGGTAATAAAGCGGTTTATTCGTCGGGGAGGCCGATGTAGGTGGCTAAGAAGATTCTCAATTGAAGGCAACTATTTCATGTGGGATGAGGTAACTTAACATCCAGTTTGAATTACTGGTATTAGTTCCCTAATTAAGTTTTTCATTCTGTTTAAATGAACAGTTACGATTTGGCCGAATTTGCTTAACCTGCGTGCTTGGTATTTCTGTGAAACACCTTCGTTCCCCTTAGAACGAAATCGCATCTTTTTAGTTTGAAGGATATATGAATGTCGGCTTGATGTCCTCTTCTCGAATCCCGACTAGGAGGTGCAGTTAACTAATGGTGATCTTTTTGTTACATCTTTCATTCTAACGTAGTTCCCTTTTTATAGCTGTTCTTTTTGGAATGCCGTTTCCAAACTTGTTCTCATCCAGTTTTGTTTAAGTTGGTGTTTCTTGACTCAAAAAGAGGAACTCCCCCCGCCTGTCCTCTTTTCGATCTACGGCCGCCGGTGGTTTCAAGTGCCCTACTGGCGCGGCAGTTGAGCGTAGCTTAGCATGATTCGTATATTGGGGTGGCATCAGGACATTCGACAAATTCTGCTCGCCAAAGCGCCTCAGGGTGAAGGCCTCTTCGCAAAAAGACAAGTACGCAGTATGTTATTACCGACAAAGACAAGGGAGACTGGAATGGCCATTTCTGACTTATTAGCCGTCGTCAGCCAGTCATATCCAACCCCGAATTGTGGAACACCCGAGGCTTGAACTCGCGACCTGTTAGTTAGAAGTCCAAGCTTCTACCCGCTGAGCCACGAGCCTGTTGCCCTGTCCATTTCGATCTGGAATATACAATGGTAGAGGGCGCTCACCGAACGTTCTTACGGAACTCACTCGTTCCGTTGTGCGTTACGGGTTCTCTCTCGAGCCCAACCAGCAGCCGCACAGCGGCGCAGGACATATAGGCAGGATTATATTACCGACAAAGGCAAGGGTATGAATGGCTGACGACGGCTAATAAGCCAGAAATGGCCATTCCAGTTTCCCTTGTCTTTGTCTGTAATAGCATACTGCCTTTATCATGCGCCGCTGTGCGGCCGCTGGTTGGGCTCGAGAGAGAGCCCGTAAGGCACAACGGAACGAGTGAGTTCCGTAAGAACAACCGGTGAGCGTCCCCCACCAGACAAGTATGCTTTTGACAGTTGCTGCCAGGACTCACCAAGTTCTTCTGCAATTTGATCGGAACCTCAGCTTGGCTGCACCGACGAACTCCAAAGAACTGACAGACGTCCTTGTGGAATTGCAACAGCACTTTAGCCACCTGTGCTGGATACTGACTGAGGAAGTCCAAGACTGACTTTTGATGTTGTTCACGTCTAAAGACAAAAGATTTAAGGCGTTGAACTCTGCACTGACGCAGTGGAAACTGAATTTTGCCTTAATTAGTCGGTTATGGTTAAATGGTGTCGCATTACACTGTCAGTCAGTCCTGTGGGCATCCTTGTCAAGTAGCAATCGCCAATCATAGTCCTCAATAAACTCCCGCAGGTACTTCCTACCGTGACTTTGTATTCTCTGATCTGGAATGATGATAATTTCCTCGGGCAAATGTTATGTCGGGTAGGAAATTTCGTGCCCAAAACCCTGCAGGTTTTTTAAAAAGTCTCAAGTCATGCCTCCTTTAGGTTGTCAAGCTCCGCAGAACGAGTACAAAGTTCTAGAAGTACAGTAGGTTGGCTAACTCATGAAATGTCAATCGAAATTCTGAAATGCGTTATCGTTTTGAAAAGATTGGTTAAGTAGCGTTGTGAAACTGGTCATCGTGCAGCATAACTCTATAATTATCTTGTTACCGCAAGATGCCAGCTTTCGAACGAATTTCTTTCCGGTTGCACGCAAAAACGATACTCTGTAAAAATGGAGTACTTAAGTAGCGTGCATTTTATCATTGATTTTCGATGTCCTTAGAAATTCAGTTCTATATATCATGAAAAATGCATAAAATAATGCATAAAATAATAAACTCTTTATTCTTTTGCTCATTTAGTAGAAAACTACGACTCAAAGAAAGGGTATAACACGGTTTCAAAAAGGGTTTCTTATTGTGAAAGTATTTAGTACCGTGAGATGACCATTCATAAAACGTCATGTCTCTGCATTAACCAATGTAGCTTCTAAAATTAACAATACGGCTAAAGTCTACTGTTTACTTTTATAAACCCCACATTTCCTCCTTTTAACACTGTAAAGAAATGTATGGTTTTCCGTACGCGGAAAATATACGGTTTGTAGTTTGGAAGACCTGAATGCAAGTGTAAAGGCCGGTCGGATCCGAAATTATTCGGGAATCGGAAGAGTTTTTGAAAACCAAATTATACACTTGCTTCAAGTAAAAATTGGTAGAAGACGTAATTTTCCACGAATCAGCAAAGAAATGAATATTTTTATGCATATTTTCCACGAAATATATTTAAATTCTTAAGGGCATCGAAATAAATGAGAAAATGCATGCTACTTAATACTCATTTTTTACAGATTTTAGTTTTTGCACGCAGCCGGAAGGAAATTCTTTCGAAAGCCGGCATCCTGAGATAACTGGATTATTGTAGGATTATGCTGTATGATGAGTGGTTTTACAACCACCTTAAATTAATCTTTTCGAAATGAAAACGCATTTCGGAATTTTGGTTGGCATTTCGTGAGTAAGCCCACCTACTGTAGTGTTATGCACAGAAATAGCATGCCGACAAAGACAAAAGAATCTGAAATGTCTATTTTTGGCTCATTATCCGTCGTCAACCAGCTATGGTTATGGCCTTGGACTTCTTACTAAAAGGTCGCGGGCTCGAACCCGAGGTTGTGTATGGACGGCTGACGACGGCCGTTAAGCCAGAAGCGGCAATCCATTTCTACACTTCAGCCCGCCATGATGTTGTCTTTAAATAATTCCCCCCCCCCGGTTGCCTGAGGAAACGACCCGATAAAAAAGTAAATACTTAAGTAATATGCATTTTCCCATCGATTTTTGTCGCCCTTATAAATTCGAGTATATTTACTAATAAGTATACAAAGAAATATCCTCCCTTGTATTCAATTTTTGCTAATTACGTCTTCCCCAAGTCTTGCAATTGAGGAAGGTGTAAATTACAGCCCCTAAAACTGTTTTAGCCTGACAGTTTAACACCTTTTCCAATTTGCAGCGGACTTCCAGTCGGATATTCCTCTATTCAGATAACGTCAGACATTTGTGGAAAAAACTATCTTTACGGCGACTACCAACTTACAGTGACTGAATGTCCTGCAACATGCTCAGCGCTTCTTCCAACAGCTGGTCCACTTCGGCTTCGTTGTCTGCTCGACGTAGATCATCAATTGCCTGCCCTAGACGGATCTCCAGTTGATCTACTTTCTCTCTGTTAGCTAGTTGTTTTGTGGTCAACTCCTCCCTGAAGGCTGTCTGTTGAAGGCGTAAGCTTTCGCGACCGGAGACCCGCCAAAGTCGGGTCAGTTCCGTGATAAATTTGGCCATCGGATCGAAAAAGTGTTTCTGGTTTGTTGTAACAATCCATCCAAAGGAAATCTAAAAGGCGATAATGAAGGTTCGTTTTGAAAGGACTAGTAAGGGACGGAAGACTGTCATCTGTTGTGGACGTTTTCTTTTTCTTGACAACCTGAGAATTAATTTGAGGTTCTGGACTCGGAGCACTCAGCATTCTTCGCACACAGTCTCTGGAGATGCGACTGTAGAACCGAGAGCTGCCGCAGAGTCAAGGTAAGATCTGATCGTGCAGGCACACATGCGGAACATAATACTTATGTGCTACTGATTTGCTCAGAGTAGGCGTAATTACGTTGACGGTGTCTGTCGTTTCCCTCTAACCGAGTTGTCTGGGTTAGGGGTTAGTGGGGAGTGTTAGGGGTTAGGGTTAGCGTTAGGGGTCAGTGTTAAGGGTTACGGTGAGGTGTTATTGTTTGGGGTTGGGGTTAGCATTAGGGGTTATGGGTTAGGGTTGGGAGTTCATGTTAGGGCGTTGCGGTTAGGAGTTATGGGTTAGGGTTAGTGGTCATGTATAGGGGCTTGGGGTTAGGGTTAATGGTTAGTGTTAGGGCTGTTGTTACGGTTTGGGCCGGAGTGAGGGCGACCCTAACCCTTGCCCTATTCCTCAGCCCAACCCTCACACTAACCCAAGCCCTGAGACTAACCACACCTCTAAACTCGAGCACAAGACTGCCCGCTTCTGTTTCAGCAATGTGCAAGTGCGCTATTTCCGCATAATCTCGCCTACCCAAAAAATCCGTATTTCAGCAGTGTAATCTTCATCATGTGTCTCTGCACACCATGCCCAATGACATTGACGACGCGTTGCCACCTTCGATTGGCTAATCGGATAGCTGCCATATTTTCATCATTGACACTTCAATTTCAGCTCATTCAAAGTGTTTTGCACATTTCATTAACTTATTTTCTTCACAGCAATTTCACAGCTATCTCAGTGACGTGTCCGATTGCCCCACCCGTAAAGTCAGCTTTAGCAGCATTCACATATTAGAGGTAGTTGGAGTTGGGTTGCTTCATGGACGGCTGCATACTAAGATCTGAGCGTCGACTGAAACCGGGCAGACAAATTGGCAAGGCCCAAAGTAGGTAAAAGACAAGTCACAGATTTGTTGAATGATCACTGTGTAGGACAAAACTGCAGGCCCTGGAAGTTCAAGCGAGGTGTTCCATCCACGGTGTCCTTCGTGTTCTTACAAACAGCCTCGATAAAGTGGGAGGACTCAGCGGATGGTGGCTGCCGAGATGCCCGGTAGCTGGGCTTCCAGGACAAAACGAAGAGGGGGGGGGTTCGAGTTTGCCGTCGAGGTGGAGGATGGACTGGAGGACGGCTGAGCATCACCCTGGTAGTCCCCGTCGAGATTCTCTTGAGCGACCATATGTACCATGCGAGGACTCTGATACGAGTCGAGCGCTGAATAAGATCCGTTCGTTCTTCGTTGGGCAAAATAAAGGCAGCGTCTTCGGGATTGTTGATGATAACGGGGGCCCAGTCCTTGGAGTCACTGGGACGTCAACAAAGGACACTAAATCATTGTCGACAGCAAGAATACGGAAGAATCTGGAGTCACGCCAATCAACCAACTCGAGTTCAGAGAAACCCTCGGGCTGTATGGCACCGTCCTCATCAGCGTGTGAAGATGACCACAGACATGCGCAATTGGGGTAGTGGCCAAACCAGAAGGTCTGATTACTGGTTGATGCCTTTGGGGGGAATACTGTCAGCGTTTGGGCCAGATCCGTAAAAATGACACCGAAAAGATTCAATGGTCTTTTGGAGCCAGGTGAGGAGCAGGCATCAAGACCAGCAAAGGAGTAAGTCCCCTAGGGTTTCCGATGATTTATCATATAGGACTGTGGGAAGTTGCAATCCTGAAGAGAGTACTGCCTGTAGAAATGATCCGCACGGCCGGGGGATGAGATATCGAAATCATCGTGATTACCACGCATATCCAGTCACTTTGTATAATAAATAACGCTGGATTTTCTAATAATGTCGTTGTAAACTGCCCACTTTTCGGAGAACTGCACTGAACCAGCTCGGTTCTGAAGTGTCGCATCAGTAATGTCACCTGAAACCATAACTACATCTGGCGGAATGTAAATAGAGCACAGTTTGAACAGATCAGCGTCTCGTTCAGAGTCCGAGAACTTGTTGGTGTCTATATGAGAAACCGGCATTAACCAAAAACGCTGACGAAGCTTCAGAGACTGACTCTCCGAGTGTTTACGGTAGTCCGCAGAGATAGACACGTAACGAAGGAAGACGGGTAGCCCAAGGCTCAAAAGTACAAGAGTGTGCATTTTTTGCTTTTGAAAACTGGTTTCGAAAGAAGAGGTATGAAGGTGCACAGTTGAGAAGCGGCTTCTAAATCCTATCAACAGACGTGGTCTCAGACTGCGACAGCACTTAACGCGCCCTACACACCTGACTATCTCTAGCCGCGGCCAACCCCACAGCCACATAATCTGGACTACAGTTCGTAAACACCGATGGCATGCGGACATGCGACTTAGTTTTAGACCATCCAACTTAATTCTAAATAACAGAAGGGTGACATCCCAGACTGGCTTACGAGGAAGAATTAAAAAGAGGCCTTTTCAACCCCTCTCGCATATGTCCAAATATACTCCTCAAATGTGACAGCCCGCTTAGAGAATCCCGCATCCACTTCATTGATTTGCAGTCGGTTCCACAGTATTTCAGGCAGGTATCCAAGGAAACACGTGCATTTCCGGAAGAAATTCTGTCTAGCCGATATTTCAGGAAGAAAGTGTATATTTTGGCTTTAAAAAAGTTTCCCGATTCCCGGATAACTTCCAGCCTGATCTGCCATTGCATCAACGTTTAGCAATTTCAGTCTACAAGACGCATGCTTTCCGCGTAAGGAAAATCACATATTCCTCTATGTCTTTAAGAAGATAGCATGTAGAGTTCATGAAATTTGCAATGGATTCGGACTTTGTTGTAAATTTCATGAGGAGCATCAGTAAACGGATAAGTGCAGTCTTGAATTCATGGACATAGCACGGTATTAAAAATTTCATGATTAGACACTTTTTTAAAAACCAAAAGATACACCCTCGTCGGATATAAAATATGAAGACAATGTGATTTCCAACTAAATGAGCAAAAGAAAACAGATTCATGTGCATGTTCTCTATAAAGTATATTTGAATTTATAACACCATCGAAAATAAATAAGAAAAATGCATGCTACTTAAGTAGTCATTTTATACCGAGTGTAGTTTCTGCAGGAGGTCAAAAAGAAGTGCATACAAAAGCCGACATTCTGCCGAGTCGGAAATAATATAGGATTATGCCGCAAGATAATCAGTATAACAACTCCACTTAAGTAATCCTTCCTAACCGGAAACGCATTCCGGAATTTTGGCCAACATTTCATGGGATTGGTCGCGCACTGTATCCTACCAGCTAAGGAATCACGGGCATTTTCCGCTTATGATCTTCATAAACTCTAGGCATCTGATTAATCTACCAAATGGAAATTATGCTGAGCTGAAGCCTGTTATGCGTTTTAACAAAATACGACGAAGGGAAAGCACCTTATGACGCATGACGCAGTGACTAACTGCCCCGAGAGCCTGAGTACTTTTTATTTGTCTGCGTGTAAAGAAAACATTTAGGAAAAAATGCACCCAAGAGTCGAGATCATATAAGGGGCTCTACACTGATTTAACTATATGATGCATAGTCAAAGTGCTTACTTCAAGGTAGGCGAGTGAGCCCTCTGCTCTCATTTTTAATTGTTCAATTACTGTTTGACCTAGTTCACTGACCAGTTGCTCAAGAGATTCCTCATCCTCAACGAATTTCTCATCCAGTAGGGTTTCCTAAAAGTAAATGAAGGAAACAAGGTTAGCTCCACCTGATGGACACTATAATGTTGGGGTTGGGGTTAGCAGTTTGGGTTAGGGGTTACGGTTATGGGTTAGGGATTAGAGTTAGGGGTTAGGGTAACCAGTTCTCAACCGCAGTAACATGGACGACCAATGAGAAGATGGCAAGAGTTTCATTTTCGAGTTGCCTTTTTTTGCCATCAATAATACGCCTGAGCAAAAACAGAACAAATAGGATATGCTTAAAGTTTCACCCCGAACGTTGCCTCTTATACTGCATCCAACGACGTAATTTACTCAAAATTTACGACATAACACAGAACAGCACTATGGGGAGCGCCAAGTATGATTCCAAGGAGATTCGGTAACGAACATACTAAAAGAAATAACCTCATACGGCCAGCCCACTCAAAATTCAGAACTCTGGATTGTCATTGTGATAGGCAGACGTCGAAGTGATACTCGACTTTTTATTTATGTACGCAACGGATACGGCTGACGCAAAAGACAAGCTTGATCTTCTAGAAATTTGTCGGTTTCCACGGGTTATCGGACGGGTAAATAGTTCTTATTATTTTAACGTTTTTCTACCTCAGTAATTACTTCATATTTATCCTCTTTATACTGAGGACGCCTTATTTTCAATTATCAATGAGAAACTTCCCAAGTCTTCTGTGCATGCAAAACTCACCCTTAACATTTGGAGCTCATGTCGAATTTTGTCCAACTCTTCTGCAAACGCTTTGAATATCCTCTCCAGATATTCGGGAAAGATCGCCACTAAAAATAACGTCACTTTGATTTATATATCTTCGGTTATTGGGCAAAAACGAAGTAATTTATGGTGTATTTCGACTTTAAGGGAACATATAAAGGACACGCCTGGCTGAAAGTGAAGTGACCACTTTTGCAGAATGACCTAAGAAAACAAACTTAATTTGTACGGATTCGTAAGATTTCGAGAAAGCATGAAGCAAACTCAATGTACCTAGTCTTTCCTGAAGGTTTTGAAGATCCCTTAGGCAAGCCTCAGTTTTCTCTGGTGCTTCAGCGAAGAGACGAAAATTCGTTCTGCAAGCAGGAGCAAGCTTCATTGAAATGTTCATGGCAAACATTAAATCTTACAGTCATTTACTGAAATGAGACATTTGCGTACCGAAAATCTTGTAGGATATGATCCCGGCTCATCAGAATTTTGGCAAATTCTTCGGACAGCTGCAACACAAGAGCCTGGACAGATGCTGGACAAACGTCGATCTGTTTTTGTGCTGAGTCTCTGAAAAGAAAATTTTGGCACCCAAAAACTCCGTTAAATCTAGCAAAAAATGAGTTTCGGGGGATATAGAGTTCTGTTCGGAATAGCCTAAGTCAGTTTCTAACGTACTCAAGGAGTACAGGTTTAAGTTAGGCTATAATAAACGCCGACCATAAAGTACCGGCTGCTAATTTTAAACGCGACTTTGGCTGGATTACTTCCGTAGAAAAATTTAACTGACTTCATGTAGGCAAGACCGTATTGCATACATAACCAAGACTATTTTGTTTATTGCAGCCCGAATAAGAGCAAGTCATGCAAGGTTTTATGTGTTCTGGTATCCTTTGTCGAGGAAATAAACATTTCTGTAGGATTTCTTCTTGTGCACAAGTAGGTTGTAACCAGTTTTGACTCTCATTGCTTAAAGCTGGCTACGTTAACAGGTTTGACAAGTAAATCGTAACTTGAGAGATGACGCACTGAACACCAAATTCAATAGAAGTAGGTATCGATTGGTTCGCACTACCAGTAAAAGTGGGATCGATATATTAAGAGGTTGCCCGTGCGATTGACGGGTCGTATCGAGCGTAGACTTGCCTTCGTTGTCGTTTTATCGATTGTTAAAAATCCACTGGCAAATGATTATGATACGATATCTCATCAATACCACCAGACAGTATACTTATATCGCTTTTTGGGTGACGTAGACAGAGGTGTCAGCAAAAGATGGCAATAAACCTTTTCATGAAATCCTTTCTTTCTAGAAATGACGGTCATTTCAGCAGCGAGGAGATACAACAAAGAATGAGGATAGATTGATACAGTATTGTTTCGGACTTATTTTGGCTTTAATCAGCCAATCATAATCCTGACTAGCATGTGGGACCAGAAACACAAACATGCGCAGAGACACAGCTCGTGTGGTTGGTCCACTGCTGGGTCTACCAGATGGGTCATAAGCACTTCATCGAACCGAAGTTCATCAGTGCCTCGCCACCTGTCATTCTCTGTCGCTGCAGATCGGGTATCTATTCTATCAGGAATGGGCGCACACCGATCTATTGACCTCCAGAAGCAAACAAGCTCTATATGGGTGCTCTATATAGGTCACGGACAGGCAACCAACTACCAGGCCGAAGTCGGTCAATTCATAATCGCAGCGACGGAGAACGACAGATGGTGAGGCACGCTTGAACTTCGGTTCGATGAAGTGCTTATGACCCCAGGGTTGAACCGACTGCGTCAGGTCCTAAGCACCGCATTCTCTGTCGTCACTCCTCGCTGCCATTATGACTTGGCCGACTTCGGCCTGCTAATTGGTTGCCTGTTCGTGACCTTTGCCACCCATACGGGGCTTGTTTGTTTCGTGAAGCCAATAGATTGGTGTGCGCCCATTACTGATTGAATAAATACCCGATCTGCAGCGAAAGAGAATGACAGGTGGCGAGACACTGATGAACTTCGGTTCGATGAAGTGCTTATGATCCATCTGGTAGGCCACAGTGGTGGACCAACTGCGCTAGGTGCGTCTGTGCGCATGTCTGTGTTTCTGGTTCCGGCTGCTGGTCAGGGTTATGATTGGTTGAATGAAGGCCAAATAAATCCGAAACGGTATTATATTAATCTGCTCGCATATTCTGTTGTGCCTCCTTGCTGTTATTATGACCTGACCGACTGCAGTCTGGAAGTTGGTTGTCTGTTCGTGACCTTTGCCAGCCACACGGAGCTTGTTTGCTTCGGGAAGTCAATAGATCGCTGTGCCCCCATTCCTGACGGTCATTTCATTGGCAAGGAAAAGCCAAATATTAGAATATAACCTGACGAACATATGCGCTGGTGTTACCCAACAATCTTTCCTATGCTGGCCTCTTAACTTCGGACCAGCCTTAAATATGATAGGTTGAAATCAACCCTGGGCGGGTTTCTCCTCTCCAGCCTAACCTTGCTCTACGAGATGCGTTCGCTGACGTTTGCGACCGTCAGACAGCTCTTTAGTCAAATCCTTACGAACGATGTCTGCTATCACCACTACCCTTGTTTTCGATCCGATATGATTTTTGCCATTCTAACTTTTGCTCAAGTTAGCAAAAGTAAGAGATCCAGGTTTATAATCTGAGGAAAATGAAGTGCTCACCGGATCGAGGGACTTGTTTGACTGACGTTTCGAAGAGCTGGGGCCGCTCTCCATTATCAAAGCGTCTAGTGAAAAAATCGATCAGAATTTTGAATAGACAGCCGAATCAGTTGGCCTTGGGCTGATCGATTTTTTTCTTCTTCCGCTGCCTTGGCCTACTGGCCGCCGCTTGTGAGTGTTGGTGGCCTCCTGTATTGTGTGCCGTCACCTCAATTGGGGTTAGTTGCGTTTGCGTCCCCCTTTTGGGTGAAGTGGTCGACAGGTCGTGTTTGCTCAGTAGTGTTAGGCTCCGTATGACTGTCTTGTCTTCGTCACGGCGTATGTAGTGACGTAAGGCTTTATAGGCCGAAGGGAGGTCTAGATGCCTGTTAATGGACTTGGCATCTGTGTATCAAGCTTCAAGTGTAATACGCCCTGTCCTTGAGGTGCCCCTGCCTAAGGCGGCTGCTCCTTGAAAATAAAAACTGTGGCCAGTTTCCCCGATGTGAGCCGCAAGCTGTGAGTTTGGGTCTAGTCTCTGAGTTGCCAGTTTGTGCTCATTTAGGCGGGTTTGCAATTTCCGTCCGGTTTCCCCAATGTAGTTGCCGTCTCCAGCATTACAACGTATTTGAAAGAAAACTGCTGAGGATTCAGTGGGTGGCAGTATGTCTTTGGGTTGCATCAAACGGCGACGAATTGCTGCCTAGGGTCGATGGGCAATGCCTACCCTGGTGGGTTGTAGCAGTCGTGAAACAGCCTCGGAGAGCCGCCCCAGCTCTTCGAAACGTCAGCCAAACAAGTCCCTCGATCCGGTGAGCACTTCATTTTTCTCAGATTCGAACTTTTGTGCATTGGGAATTCATTTGTATCTTCCCTTTCCGCTATCACGCGTGCCAGGATGCAAACCGACTACCACGCTACGAAATCAGCCTGCACACCCTAAGGATAGGGTTGGCTATTTGGATAAAAAGAAGTAGTCTATAAGATTCCATGTGGCACTTGTAATGCAGTGTATTGTGGTCAAACCGAAAAATCCGCCTCTACACGCCTCCATGAACACCAATTGACAGTGAAGAGGCGGGACCACTTATCCTAAGTCGCCATGCATACTTTGAAACTGGGCACAAATTCGCTTGGGATAAAACACGCATTGTCGGTTCCTGCCCATAAAAGAAAGGCCGAGAATTCTTAGAGGCCATTCACTCTGGTGATTCATGCATCACTCGACGCATTGATCTTGATACCATGTACACAAATCTCAAAGAAAAATGGAAAAAGTAATAGCCAATCAAGACGCGGCATCAGCCCGCAGCATTAACCCATCCTCAGCCATGACAGAGCAATATCGATTTTTTGGGCATTGTTTAAATTTTGATTGTTTCTTCACACTTACTACACGTCTGAAGACGAGCTGGGGAACCAGACTCGAAAATTTACGAAATTAAGTTTGTTCATTTTCCCAAAGGACTCTTTCTTCTTCGAAATAAATTAAACAGTACAGGACTTTATTAGCGGCTTCTCATACACAACCTATTGTAAGTTGAGGCATTGCTTTCCCGGAAGAATTTTAAACAAGGCAAAGGCGTCAATAAATTCTGCATGTTTCGTCGCCTTTGCCTTGTACAGACTATTGTGACTCGCTCTTATTTTGTATCGCACCATGGTATCCGCAGAGACCCTCTACATTACTGCCTTGTTAAAATTGCGACAGATGTCATCACCAGTAGTAAAAAGAAAACGAAGTCAAATTGCCAGATGAGACTCACTTAAACTGCTCAATCAGCTTTGTTGTGTTTGACTGCTGCCAGGTTTTGTAATATTCCTCCCACTCCGACTGCAAACGGTAGGTTGCGACTGCCGTTTCCATCTTCAAATTGCCAACCAGTTGAGCAATCCGTCGGTGGTTCAGGACCATCATGTGGTTGATTTGCTTTGTTTTTATAAAAAAAACTTTACTTCTTAGGATGGGACTCGTAAAGCCGACTAACCGAAAGAAATGGAGGCTGTGTTTTTTAACTCACCAAGATGAAAAATTAACTTAACCTAAGCTGGGAGGGGGCGTTAACAAACCAGTCTGACAAGTAGTTACCAAAAGACTGTTAGTTTTCTGCTCGACTTCGTGAATTGCCTTGTCAACACACGAAATTTCCACCTCCAAATTGTCAACACTGCCCACCACTGTCCCATGTGGTGTACCTAGCAGAGACGACTTGAGCATAAATTAATTTATAGTGAAACAAATTTACGCTTCATCCACCACATTATCCTCAACCACCAACCATGTTCCGAGTACGGGACAGTACCAAAATAACCGGATATAGAAGGAAGTTTATTGCCGAAGTATTTAAATCGTCCGCTTACGCATGCCACACCCAGAACCTGAACCGCTACAATGAGAGCGGTTCGGATCTCAGATGTTTGGGAGTGTCATAAAGGACACGCTAAAAAGAGGTAACTTGGCAAAAAGTAACGACTGTCACACATTTCCGACCGATGTGCTTCGTGCTAAAAAGACGTCTCCAGTACGTAGCTTTTTGTCAGCAATGTGGGTGAAGATGTGACTCCCAGATAGAGTTTATGTGCTAATTCATGAAATGTTAGCAGAAATTCCGAAATGCGTTTTCGACTCGAAAAGATAACTTAAGTAGAGTTGTAATATTAATCACCGTGCTGCATAATCCAATAATAATTCGGTTATTATAGAATGAAGGCTTCTCAACGAACTCCTTTCTGACCGCGTGCAAGAAGTACACTCTGTAAAAATGGCAGTAGAAGCAGTGTGAATTTTTCTCATTGATTTTATGATGTCCTTATGAGTCCAAATATATTTAATAGAAAACATGCAAAAAAATATTCATTCATTTGCTCAGTTGGTTGAAAATTGTTTTCTTCAAATTTCACGCCTGAAGGAAGGGTAAAATTTGGTTTTACGAAAGTTTATAATTGTGTGATTTTCGCAGACCGTGAAATGCCCGTTCATAAGACATCGTGTCTCCGCATTCGCTAACGTTGCCTGAAAAGTTTGCAATATGGCTCAAACCCACCAGTAAATTTTATGAAACCCATTTGGTCTCCTTTAACAGAGTATAGAAATGTGTGATTTTCCATATAGGCACAATATACAGCTTGTAGTTTGAGAACCTTAAATTCAAGTGTAACGACAGGTCGGGTTTAAATTATTCGGAAACTGAATAATTATTTCGAAACCGAATGATACCCTTCCTTCAAGCATTAAATTTGAAAAAAAGCGTAATTTCCTACCAATTGAATAAAAGACTGAGCATTTTTATGCTTCTTTTCTAGGAAATACATTCAAATTTATAAAGGCACCTACAATCAATGAGAAAAACTCGTACTGCTTAAGAGTCATTTTTCGCAGATAGAAGTTTTTGCAGGCGGCCTGAAAGGAGTTCGTTCAAAAGTCGGTATCTTGTAATAACTGAATTATTATGGAATTATGCTTCATTGTGATAAATATTACAATCCTACTTAAGTGATAATTTCGAGTTGAAAAAGCATTTCATAATTTCAGTTAACATTTCATGAGTTTATATATTTGGAAGTAGAAAGGTCAATTCGACTATTGCAACATTTGGTTCACTTGTCTGCATTTTCGAACCGATTTAAGAGTCCAGCATCTAGCACATGGACGCAGCAGTAAATAAATGACCTATGCAGTGTTCCTCCATTTGTTGGCCTCGCGTTTCCTAGGTCGGGAACTTGGAGCGCGTTGCGTGGTAGGAAGATCGCTACGTTTAAAATAGACAGTAAGATGTTTAGGAAGGCAACAGATCGACAAAAGATGTGTTTGAATTTTTTTTCAAACACTTGCAGGAAGAAGAACATGTGACCTGGGCTACACTATTACAGTTCCGGTTGCATGGCTTAGGTGAGGTTATACGCAGACAACCTTACTTGGTACTTTATTTCAAGAAGTAGGTATTTCTTTTGAAATCAGACCACGATAGTGTAAAGAGTGCAACAAGAAGACCCATATTCGGGCGGCCCCTAAACTCCGGCTTCTCGAATTCAGGCCACTGCGACAGATCTTAACCCGCTTCCTTTATGTAATGAAAGCACTAAAAACGCGCGCAGATTCCCGCACTTTTGCGTGAGCCAATGTAGTCCCCGCTTCTGTCCAGCCCAACATCAGCGCAGCTGAAGGGAGAATAAGCCCAAACTGACCCTTCACACAATTAGTCAACCTCAGACTTTGGGGGGAGCGATAAACTCCAGTTCGCGGACACAAAGCAACGCTGCTTGTAGACAGAAAGACTAACCGAGGGCTGCACGAGGCCCAATTACATTCGGACTCATTTTAATTGAAGTCTCCACGATGCAGATTGGCGAACATGCACATTTTTGCGATAAGTCATCTTAAGCCAATGCGGCTGTTGAGTTGGTCTGCCTTAAGTATGGAAAAATCAAAAAGCATAAGCAAGTAGCAAGAGTCGCAGACAGGAATTATAAACTGAGAATATACTGTGGCCAGCAGGCAGGGTAAGGAAAGGGATGCGGACATTGTTTCTGGTCTACTGTACCTTCATCCAGTCAACCATAAGTCTCATCATAAACGGGATCAGAAGCACAGGCATGTGCATACGACAGCACAGATGATCCACTCAGTTAACATTTCATGAGTTAGCACATCAACTGCGTATATTTGGAAGTACAGTGCGTGACCTATCTCATGAAATGTTGGCTGAAATTCTGAAATGCGTTTTCGATTGGGAAGGATTACTTGGCCGCGGTTGTAATACTGATTATCTTAAGGCATACTCTTATAACATTTTAGGCTCGGCAGGATGTCTCCTTTAAATTGCACTTCGTTTCAACTTCCTGTAGAACCTGTACTTGGTAAAGAATGCATACTTAAGTAGCATGCATTTTTCCCATTGATTTTCGATGGCCTTGGAAATTCAAATATATTTTATAGAAACCACAAATAAAAATATGCTTTCTTTTAGTTACTCAATAGAGAATCACGTCTTCTTTATATTTTATACTTAAGAAAGGAGTATAATTAAGTTTTAAAAACTTTTCTAATTGCCAAAAAATTTGGAGCCTGATCATTCGCTGCATTAGCGCTTAGTGATTACACTCTACAAGGTGCATGCGTTCCGCGTAAAGAAAATCCCATATTTTTCTATGTCATTAAAGAGATATTTTACAGGGTCCATAAAATTTTGCAATGGATGCGGACCATGTTGTACATTTCATGAGGGGCAGTGGTATACGGCCAGGTACGATGATATGTGAATGGACATATCGCGGTCTTAAAAAGTCTCATAATTAGAAACTTTTTTAAAACCTAATTATACTCCTTCCTTAAGTATAAAATATAAAGAAGACGTGATTCTCTATTGATTGACTAAAAGAAAGCACATTTTTGTTTGTGGCTTCTATAAGGTATATTCGAATTTTCAAAACCATCGAAAATCAATGGGAAAAATGCATGTTGCTTAAGTAGTCATTTTTTACCGAGCACGCTTTCTACAGGAGATTGAAAAGAAGTGCATTTTAAAGCCGACATCCTGTAGAGCCTAAAATGTTATAAGAGTATGCCTTAAAATAATCAGTATTACAACCGCGACCAAGTAATCCTTCACAATGGAAAACGCATTTCAGAATTTTAGCCAACATTTCATGAGATAGGTCACGCACTGTAAAAAGGTCAATTCGACTATTGCAGCACTCGGTTGATTTTCTGCGTTTTTAAACCGGTTTATGAGTCCGGCATCAGGCACATGGACCCAGAAGTAAATAAGTGACCTATGTGGTGTTCCACCATTTGTTGACTCCGCGCTTCCTAGGTCGGGAACTTGGATCACGTTGCGTGTTAGGAAGATGTTCAAGGAGGCAATAAATCTATGGAAGATGTGTTTTGAACACTCTACAGAAAACCGACGAATACCCTGCAAATGCTCAGTCACAACAGCAACCACCCACTGCAACACGAACGAAGCACTGTAAGCAGGCTACACCGACGGGTGGAAACTCATTGCAACACTCCAGCCGCCAAACTGGACGAGATGAAGCTCCTTCAAGAACTCTTCAGAGACAACGGCTATCCACGAGCATTCGTTGAACGCAGCCGGAACGAAGAACATAGCCAAAATCGTGGCGAAGCATTCCGTACATGAAGCCGTGGCTGGATCTATCGATCAGGACAAAATTGACTACTATGAAGAGCTGCTGAACTCAATCATTCCCGATCTACAGTTCACGTTGAAAAAGGCAGTGGAGAGCAAACTTCCATTCTTGGATGTTCTCGTCTGCCGTCAACCAGACGGAGAACTGGCGACGTCCGTCTACAGAAGACCGACGAACACGCTGCAAATGCTCAATCACAACAGCAACCACCCACTGTAACACAAACGAAGCTGTGTAAGCACGCTATACCGACGGGTGGAAACACATTGCAGCACGACAGCCGCCAAACTTGACGAGATGAAGCTCCTTCAAGAACTCTTCAGAGCCAACAGGTATCCACGAGCATTCGTTGAACGGGGCCGAAGGCAATCAAGGAAGCAGAATGAAGAACATGGTCAGCCAAAAATGTGTCGGGGCATTCCGTACATGAAAGGGGTCCCCGAAACCGTGGCTAGATCCCTCGCGCCGCTCGGAATAGGCGTTGCCCACAGGCCCGAGTCAATAATCTGCCGGAAAGTGATGCGGCCTAAAGACTCGATCCCTAAACAGGAGATGTCGGCTGTTGTGTACCGACTTCAGTGCAGCTGAGGGAAGCGCAACTACGTTGGGGAAACCGGCCGACGGCTGCAAACGCGAATGCACGGGCATAAGTTGGCCGTGCGAAGATTGAACCCAAAGTCGGAGGTAGCAACCCATGCCGCGCAACTGGGACACATCTTCAACTTTGAAGCCGTTGAGATTGTGGGCTGGGGCGAGGATCAGACGTCAAGGCAGGTTCAAGAAACCAAGATGTCCACCGACTGCTCTGTCAACCGCCACCTCAATTTACCTCTCCCCCCCCCCCCCTATCTGACGTTACGAACCTTTGTTAATGGTGGACAGTCACGGCGCGGGACAATCAGGGCCGTCAACTATCTCCGCGGCCGACGGGGGCGGGGGGGTTCTGGTCACGGTGACATGCGGGTCGGATGCAGCCACACAGGCGCCATTGGCGGGCCACGCATCAAACAAAGTGCACCTTATAAGCAGAGCTGTGCGCATGACTTCCCAGTCTCTGAAGAGGGGTAGGCGAAACAACTACTGGGAACATCAGACCTCTCCCGGCGAACGCCTTATTTTCTTTTAACTGTTTTTGGAAAAGTGGATATTGTCAACAAGATACGAATAACTTTCCCTGTCTAGCGAAACGAAATTAAAAAAGACGATGGAAAAGGAAAATCTCGTAATGCTTGCACTCACCGATGCCTCATTGCAGATGACATTTTGCACTTGAATAGGTGGCAGATGAGAACACGTGGGAAGTTTAACTTTCAGATGATGGATTGCGGTTTTTACCTGAGGTACAATTCAGATCAATAATTAGCAACAATGACTAAAAATGGCATTCATTATCACGTTTAGACTAATACATATCGGAAGCTATTTCACAGTTGTTAGCACTCACATTTCGTAAAATAAGCATTGTTTTTCGCCCTATCCACTCAGTGCTAAAACATTCGTACATAAAAATAATGATGATGTAAGCCCTGGGGCGATAAAAAAATTGTCGTCTAGCGTTTAAAGCAACGAATGTGTCCATCCGGTTCGAGTGATAGGGCCCACGGGCCACGCAATACACCCCCCACATCACGCGGATTGTATGGGAGTCCTGCGACCCTGTTTGACTGCAGTTGGCGTCACCCTTTACCACGGTGACGATTGGCGAGTGTAGGCAGCGCGTAATCTGTCTGACTTATCCACAGAGTCTGCCAACGGTCAGGCAGTTACGCAAAACTGCTTAGGCCGCAGGTATCAAAGTATTTCGGACATCCACATCCCCGAACCCACTGTACTACTCAGCGTACTTACAGGACTGATGTCTTTGGAACCCTAGGAAACTGACAGACGAACGCTTGTATAGACGGCTGCCCCATGAAGGCTCTCAAATTATTTTAAAATTGATTGTGATTCCAGACCTCGTAGTAGTCAGTTTAGTCACCTGCGTATCGACATGAACATGTCTAAAACATCACCCACTGCCTATACAACACCCAAATTTCCTACTGCCGGACTGGTGGGTCAAACTGGATCATAAGTTCATCCAGATTTTGAACTAAAAACATTCAACAGGATCTATAAAATTACTAATTGTGGATATTAGTGGGCATGCTATTCATATTTAAATCATATATTTTTCATTCGGTTTCTGTTAAAATTGTTGTCAAGGATTCCCGCAAAGCTGAACCTATGTCTGAGCCAGTTAGAGAGCTCACAAGACCTGTTTGATTTTAAGAAATTCTTACATTTATAAATGCTCGAACGGCAAAAAATCGTTCCGAACAATTTACCTTCCCGATAACTTTAATGCGAGAATTTGTGAAAAGTTGTCTTTCCTTGTTGTTAAGGGGAGAATCGGCAACCGAAATGATTTACTCCAAAGGAAGGGAGTGCAACTGTTTGAGACAGTTATTTCATTGCGATCGGAAAAACAGCTGGACATTTTTATGTTGGACGGAGGTGCATTTTAAGTGCCAAAAAGTTGGTTCCGCATGAAATGCGTCAGTTGACCTGAGTCTTTGCTTATGCGGCATCATTAAGGTCATTTTTTGAACGAGGTCGCTACCGGTGGTGAGAAATGAGTTCTTTTCTCTAACTCTAAGCGTCATCGTCGTCGTAGACAGTAAATTAGTCGTGGGATCAAGAGAAGGTCTCTGGCTTATGAAGGTTATATTGGGTGTATGGTGAGATACCAAGCTAATCATCCATCATGAATTGTTGAAAAATAATTGCACAATCAACACACATATATAATGCCGGCGGCTACGTCGTTTGAAATGTGCTTTGGCAACGAAACGCCCATCTTTTGTGCAAATGAAGTTAGTCGTTTTCCCCCACGATTCTGCACCTCCCCACTAAAAATCTGCTCCCATGTTACCATCCTGAACTTGCTTTGTTTAAAAAGCCATTTTCACGGGCGAAACTTGAAACCAAGAGGTTGAGAATGATTTGCTTTCCTAGCTCTCAGTAAAACATGTGGTAGTATGGAACTGAGACGTCACGACAGCCAGAATCCACCCTCATTCATACGGCCGAAAGAACTTTTTGGAGTTCTACAAGTGGCTTAATCCATCCCAGCCCTCCAAAAACACATAGCAGAAAGTAGTTTATTTGTAAAATTGTTTCTACGCGGTGATCCACGCAAGTAACGCAGTACCGCAAAAACTTGCATGTCCCAGCTCATCCAGATCGGCTCCGTCCCCATAACGGGGACATGTGCGTGCAGTAACACGACTGTATCAGTGGTCCACTATGTCGAACAAAACAACAATTGCAGGGACTGAATGAAATATTATTTCGATTTGCCCCCCCCCCCCAGAATGCACATTTACAAAATTTCTCATGCAGCATACGGAGGGAAAATGTTCATAATTTGCCTGAAATCTTAACTCTCCATCTAAGGAGAATTTCAAACCTTCTACTTGGTGGCCTCTTCCTTGTATTAGGAATACATCTGAACTCGGTCGGAGAACACCACAGAGAGCGGAAGATTTCAGTAAATCACAAGTAAATAACTGCTTTGAGCACCAAACTTATGCACCCTAAAAACAGTACTGGCTACCTTGGCAAAAAATGAATGGTCTATAAAATACCACGATATCTGCTATGATCCAGTAGGAAACGTCGCTCTCAAGCTGCTGGTTTGGAGGAAAATGCATCCCAGCGATGTGCTCTGGGAAGAGCTTCACATGCTAAATTGCCGCGAGTGCAAGCGAATATTTTAAACCCAGGTTTAGAGACTGAAGCAAAAATTATACGTATGAGTGCACTATGACTACATTCCAGCTAGTTGGAGCCAACCGTTAAGCTAGAGTTGACGTTTAAGAAAAAAACAGTAGGATGTGGTTATGTAGCCGCACCTGATGGACACAAATACTATTGGCCTACTTAATTATTTGGAGTTGGTGTGATCACGTTGGCATGGTGTTGTTGTGGGTTGTGGTGTGTGTTCTGTAGGCGGTCCTGTTTCTTTGTTGCGTGTCTACCTTCTTTGGCCCAATGCCGGTGGTCCTTCTTGACTTTCAGCCTGTCGTCTCCTTCTAACTTTCGCATTGGAAGTTTCAGGATTAGGGTTTAGGGTTGTGGTTAGGGTTAGGGGCTGGGGTTAGGGCTTAGGGCTTAGGTTTAGGACTAGGGGTTGTGGTTACGGGTTAGGGTTAGGAGTTATGGTCAGGTGTAAGGGGTTACGGCTAGGCTTTAGGGTTAAGGGTTTGGGTTAGGGACTAGGGTTTAGGATTAGAGGTTATAGTAAGGGTTTGGAGTTTAGGTCAGGGGTTATCGCAACTATTTCTCAACCATTCAAAGTACAACTGCGCATTCGCAATAGCTTTTCTTTTGCACACAACTGCTTGACCTCGTCGCCTGTGCGTTCCCCGGCCCCATCTGTAAACGGCCCTATTACCACCGGTCCCGTATTAAAGTTGGCTGAGGTTTGTTTATAGAACCACATCTGACCGAAGAAAGATGTTTTGCAAATATCCCGAAGCCACTTTCGTTTTTTGGACCATTAATCCACCTATGTGACTCAAGACTAGGAGGACAGTTCACATTGTGAACAGTGAATGAGACATTCCACTGATTGAGATTTCGATTAAATCGGCCTTCTAGCCTATACACACCCCTGGCCACGCTGACTGGTAGATCGTAAGAACTCGCAAACGAAGGACACACCGCGCTGTCGTTCAATTGTGAAACGGATATGGACGCGGGCCTAACGGGGACGTCGAATTCGTCTTTTTTACCTCGTTCCAGTAACTTGACCGATCAGTTACTCGGGCCAAAACGCGTAGACTCTAGTAACTGGAAGTTACTGAATGTGGGTAAATTCGGCCACCATTATCTTTTATTAGTTTGGGAGACGACCGCTGATCCAAGCGCGTGAATTTTAAAGGACGCATTCAGGCCGTGGCATTTTAGAGGAACAAATGTACGCTATTTTTTGCCAGAGCTATAGAGTACTCCTGAAAGTTCTTGCATTAATTATTTAGCTCCTTTTAATGTAACACCTCAAGGCAGTCTTTGGCGTACCATCTCCAGCCGGCGAGATTCCGCCTCCTTTAGATTTCTGTGCAGCCAGTTTATGTTGTTATCGCGATCGCGGGTAAACCGTTCAATTTTTATTCTTGCCTCTTCCAAGCATGCAAATGGCGGTGAGTTTCTTTCCTGTAAATGACAAGTAGTAAAAAGAGAAGACGAGGGATGACTGTTCTGTGCACCCAGGCTATAACTCCAAATAACAGAAAAAAAGTTCGGAATTAAAATGACTTTATCACATATATATATATATCTATATTTTCGTAGGATCATCAGGTTTAGGTGCACAACTATGAAAGTTTTCCATATCCTGCCTTTTCTCTCGCCAGAGTACCTGGACTGCATTCACAACCTCCAAGAATGCATCCGATAAGCACGCAAAAGCAGATGAAGAGTAATGATTACTCAACTTTGTATAATCAAATACTACGGAGTGTGGTCTCAAACACTGGCTTGTGGGCAGAATGGTGTTAACGGCAAAGACAAGGGGGACTGAAATAACCATTTCTGGCTTATGGCCGTCGTCAGTCAGTCACACCCAACCCCAAGGTGTGGAACACCTGGGGTTTGATCCCGCGAACTGCTGCTTAGAAATCCAACGCCTTTAACATCTGAGTCATGGGCTCGTTGTCCTGTCAGTTGCGATCGGGAATATAAAATGGTAGGTGATGGCCTTCAGCCGACAACCTCTAAAGTCATATGAGTTAAGCCCACCAACAACACCCACTTTCATAGATGTTTTGCATCTGCATTTAAAAGTTGAAATATTTTAAGCGTTTTGCGCTTCCCCTCGCGCTGATTACGTCGTTTTGAAATCTAGAATTGGGGATTAATGACATTTTGAACTCTGCTCTAAGTCTCATTTAATCTGACCTCGTTGTCCGTATTCCGTGTGTGAATAAAGTACACCATTCGTTCAAATCAAATGTCACTACTCTCTGAATTGTAGCACACGCTTTGAGGTGTTGCAATGTTATCACTAATGGTTAGTTGATCTGGCTTGAAAAGTTTCTGAAAACGGGTGTCCGACGTGAAAAATGAAGAACTACAAACACATTAGAGGTTGAACTAGATTAAACTTTAAGCAACTTAATCTAAGCAAAATTATTTACCAGACGAAAACAAAAAAACTACCTGCGGACTAATGAGTAGGTTTTTGAGTTGTTCACACTTAACCTGTTGTTAGCGTGTCTTTGAGCACTAATGACGTCCAGGTCAAAAAACCTTGTCATATGTTTGCGACGATATGACGGTTCTAACTTCCCTGCCCACTCTGGACTCTGATTTTTTACACCACGCTGGACTTTTCTTCTCATTCAAAGTACACGCGATGTCAGTGAAGATATTTGACTCCATCCATAAAAATATATTTGGTTTATTTTTCAGGTAGCTGAGGGACTTCAGTTTAGCACTTCAAAACCGCAGTGGAAAAAATTATGATTGAAACATTTAACAGCATAACGTGAGCGGTTCTTTTAAATAAAGAATTCCATGCAGGAGAAATTATAGTCAACGGACACTCACCTGTTGGCTAAGATTCGCCATTATATGGTCAGCCACCCGTCGACTGTTGACGAACTGCTCCGATGCCTCTCGACATGTTTTAGCGATCTCGAGTTCACAATCCTTAAAACAAGACATCACTCAGTTAGCGCTGTGATCTCCACGAGGAAAGGAGCACCAACCAGTTTAGGGGTATCACACTATAAACAGTTACCTTTGGTATTTATTTCCTACCGCCTAAGGCCGGAATTAGTTATTTTGATAGAAAACAAATCGCCCGAGGATTCCTATGCCCTTACTATGACACGGTGTACTGAGAACAAACCGAGAAATCTGCATCCACTACAATACGTGAACGTCAGTTAGATTTCGAGAAACTATGCCATTTGTTCCAGGCAATCATCCACACGCTGAACGCAGAACACACGTCTATATTGTAGATAACCATACAAAGAAGAATCACGAGCATCTCCAAGCAGTGCATTAAGACGAAACCGGCGTCAGTAGTTATATCGATTTGGTTGCCGCATACGAAATTCTCAAAAATCTATGGAGACCGATTCAGCCATCCCGACCGGGTAAATGAATGCAGAAAGAGTCCATAAGCGTGGACTTCAACCAAGCACGGAATCGTTCGTTAGGTGCAGTCAATAGTTAAATATTTTGCACGTTTCTCATGCGTATGGTGACGATTTGACGACCAGTTTTGAAATTTGCATTACATATTGTGTTTCGTTCCCCGAGGGCTTGATTGTGTTTTTATATGTGCACGTATACAGGACGTAGATACATGTGAAGTGTGCAGAAAAGGAATACCGACAAAGATAATGGAGACTGGGAAGGGCAGTTCTGGCTTCTTGGCCGTCGTCAGCCAATCAAATCGAACCCCAGGATTGTGTCACCTGAGATTCGAATTGGAATTCTTTATCAATGGGCAGTACTTAGTCTACTACTCTAAAACTGAACCATGCCCTTCAAGCATGGTTAGTAGTTTCGATCTCAACCGACTGGACAACGACTCCGTGGCCCAATTGTATAGAGCTGGACTCCTCAAAGCGCAGTGGGACGAGAGTGTTCTGCAGCCCAACTGGTTGACGCCCTCCAAATATATACATATTCAGAGCTTGAAAAAACTACAAACAGACCAATTATTTGGGATGTTTTTGAGTATTCAGAAGAATTTTCATCGAACCGGTCCCATCCCTTATCTCACGATAAGATCACAGACGACAAGCTCACATTATCACGGTTCAATAGTTATTACAACTCGTTTGGTTCCACGCATAACCTACACGAAATGTCGTTTAAATTTGAATCTCAGACCAATTATCTGGGATGCTTTTGAGTATTCGGAAGAATTTTCATCGAACCGGTCCCATGCATTATCTCACCATAAGATCACAGAGAACAGGGTTCGGTTCGGATGTTCACATTATCACGGTTCAATAGGGTTACCACAACTCATTCGGTTCCACACATAACCTGCACCAAATGTCGTTTAAATTTGAATCTCACTGACGCGAGGGGATTGGCTGATTAGTAAAACTGAGTTAAGCCCTTCAATAATAAGGCAGTCAAAGTATATTTACCTCGCGTATTTTTGTCAGTTGCATTCTCCACTCATCCAACGTGACTGCGTGTTTTTCTTTCCGACGTCGCGTTAACCACATCGACCTCTCCCTATCCATCAACTGCTTATCTGGTTCTTCATTTTCACCTCTGTGAGATGCGCTACTTGGAAAGTACGATAGTTCGGCTACAAGTTGGACCTCCTCTGCATACTTTTGATTTCCAGACCGTTTTCGCATCTGAGGTATAAGAAGTAGACAGTTGGCGTTTATTAAGAAAGATTGCATTTTTGAGGTCTAGAACCGGCTGAAAAATTTCGCATATACGTGCGCAAGTCGACAATGTGGCTGAATATCACATAACGCCACAGCACAGCTGCTCAAAAAGCCCTGGATTACATAAATTATTATCGCTATTAAATTCATAATTTCAAGGTCGACTGCCATTTTTTCTCCAACCACAGGACAAGGCAGTGTTTAAATGTGCGAACAAGCACCTCAATTTTTGCATTTTCGTGCATAAATCCAGACGGATCTAATCAAGACGGCGTCCCCTAGATCAAGAGGCTGAGACATTTAGATAACTTTTCGGTGCCCTATAGACCATTGCATTTCGATGCTTCGGTATTGAAGAGGAGTCCAGCTTTAACGGCATACATTGTGATCAGTTACTTCTTCCATTGTTTTGCGGCACAAATTGGCCAAGCAATTCAATATCTTAGAACACCGCTCCACTTTTCACCAGGGCAAAAAATCTGAACAGCATTTCGTATAAACACTTATTTCTGGAAACTCGAAAGCCTGAGGGATGTTGGTTAGCCGTCTAGTCTGCTTGCCTGACGGTAAAAGGCTTTCCAGCGACAAGCCGGTTTTCCGTGTTCATTGTTCGGTCTCTGTGCGACATGTTATGAGGGATCTGAATCCCAAAGCAAATTGTCCTTTCTTCGCTCCATAGAATCAGAGAGAAACTCAAAGCAACTCTTGCGGCTCTTTGAAGGCTCCTGATAGCAGAGGGTGAAGAGACGAGTCCCAGGAAGCAGTCTTGAAGAAGAAGAAGAAGACACGATCGCCGGGACAAGAGCTTTAGTAGCCTGACGTTTCGGATTCCTGCTCGAATCCATCAGCAGAGACATAAGCAGATAGGGGTAGTTCATGCACATGCGGCTGCAGTATTTATAGGATACAGTAGCCATGCTACTGCACACCTATGAATATTCGCGGCTCCCTCCCCTTCATCAGGAATCGTTGCACGTGGCGTGATGGCCGACATTCGCGTCGTTAATTGCTGCAATTTCATCACGTGAGTTGGTTGTTGGTGTGATGATTGCTCGACCATCTGACCCACCGATCCTGGAGTTGGAAAAAGTCTTCATTTGCGCGCTCCCCGCGTGGCTAATAACTCCGGCTAGGCGAAGTCTCAGCACCGAGTATGGAAGGAGAAGTTCATTGCACTTGTTGATGGACTGGGGGCCAGTAAACCATGATTCCAGTAGCTTCCGGCTCACGCGGTTGTCACCTCTTGCGAGAATTTCGGCCTCATCGAATTGGAATGTGTGGACGGATCTCGTCGCATGAGCCGCAACTTGAGAGCTGGCGTCATTTCTCCGCACCGCTGCAGCGTGTTCGGCTATTTTCGTTCGGAGCTCTCTTCCGGTTTCTTCGATGTAGTTGCTTTGTCCGCAACTGCACCAGATCCGATAAACGACTTTAGACGTTTTCTGCCGTGGCAGCGGGTCTTTCGGTTTCATTGCCTGACGCCTGACGGTTGCCTCCGGTCTGTGTGGAACTCCAACCCCAAGTGGTGCGAGAAGGCGCCCGACAGCTTTCGAAACGTTTTTGACATACGGAAGTGCCCGCCAAGATTTGGTGTTCGTGCAGTTAGGCCTTTCGTCCCTTTTACGAATGCACCGGTTGACGAAGTGGAACTAGTGTCACAGGCCTAGTTGAGAGAGCACGGGACATAATCCTCGTCTATAACCGGTTTTGAGCATCAAGTTCTTCCTACCTGACGTTTGCCTGTAGGTCACAAAGACCACAACAGTTAGACCGACGAGGTCCACAGTGTGCTCCACAGGAAGGTGAAGCAGGCATAGTGACTTGGGCGTGAATTAGTTCACGGAGAGTTAACTTGCGCAGCATCCACCGCACTTGGACCCGATGTCAAGACGTGGCCAAGAAGACTGGAGGCAGGAGGCGGGCAAGTGGCTGGCACGGCCGGAACCGCACCTGGTCATGCGATAGTCGACAAAAGACGTACTATCAGTCACTTCGGTCAACCACAAACACTTAACCAGGATTTTAACCAACAACAACTAGTCAGAAAAGCGAGGATGACTGAGCAGCCATGCCCAGCGATGTCTTTAGGCCGGCTCTCCAGACAAAAAATATAACGTTTCCCATTGCTGTATTGTCGAAAAGTCTTGCCTTCTCTCGCAATTCTTCCGTACTAGTAGGTTTGCATAATTTTTAGGCCTAATTGGACCTGTATTAATCTTAAATCCACTGTTGAACTCCTCGACGGGGGGATCAGCGACTGACAAAGTTGAACAGTCTGTCTTCTCGTGTTCTGCTGAGCCAGACCGCAATAGGGTGCGTTTGATCCCACATAGGTGAGGTTGTAATAAGGGCAACACTTAGATTGTGTTTGCGCAGCCTGATTCCATTCGAGAGAAGGGCTGAGTTATCAGGCAATCTTTCAAGCAACGACTGATAGCATGCCGTGAATTGGTTTAAGTGTGTAATATTTAATAGAGTTCGAGGGCGCTGATTTACTGTGGTAGTGGATTCTTGTGCGTTGACGTTGCCATCGCTTTTCCTTCAGCAGATGGCAAGTCTGAACATCCAGGGTGCATTTACCACTCACGACCTGATCCCCATTCTAGATGTGTCAGGCGGACGGTTGTATAGCTTCTGCCGGTCAGAAGTGGGAGAGCATTACTAGAAACTAGTGGGATATCAGTAAGTTAATGTCACGCTTGTTTCATGTCTGTCGAGATCGGGTGAGGAAAGAGAGAGAAGCAAACCAAGTCAAATTCAGGAAGACAGAGGTAATAGGGACGACTTTGCTGTTGAAGTGTGGCTTTTAACAAATGCGAGTGTCAGGTACATGTGCTTAAGCTTTGGTTGGCTGTGGAGAGTCTCTTGGGGGCAAAAATAGCGATTGGCGTCACGGCGTTGATAAGTGAGAGGTCGCGTGGTTCGAGCAGTTAACGGACAAAAGAGCCTGATCACTAACGCCGCGCCAAAAAGAGCACCACGGTACCCTCCACACACCCCGGATGGACCGAAAGGGACGTAATTTCCTGCAGTTGACATTCGCATGAACTGTTAACGGCGTGATCCATTTCGTGTCAACTCACAAGAACCGCATTCCAGCATATGGGGGTAGGGCATTTTGAAATTGCAGTCCGCCACTGTCTATGTATCACGGACGTGGACTACCATGACGGCGTTACAGCGCTGGCAAGCCCTTATGCAAAAATGAAGGCCTCAACGTCAGTTCCTTGATAACCAATACGACAGTCTCGGACTCGTTGTCCTGTCGGTTGCTAGTATGTCCTATCGCAACCAACAGGACAACGAGCGCGTGGATCAATAGTTAGTCCATTGGACTTCTAACCAACAAGTCGGATGATCGAACCTCAAATTTTACAAAATTTCTGGCGAATAGGCCAGAAATGACTATTTCAATCTCACTTGTCCTTCCAGCTCATGCCTTTCTGCCTATATCTCTAGCCGTTGCATGGCTCGAGAATGACTTTCAAGACGTAACGGGACGGACATGTTACGTAACATGAACAGCAGTCACTTCGTATTGTTTATCGAGCCATAAGGCAATTGTCAGCGGTTAACTCTACCTTGCATGTGGAGAAGGCCTACGGCGTAACCAAAAGCGTCCTGTCCTACAGCCAACTCCATGCTAGGTTGCGTTTGCTCATTAACGGACATATGATACATGATAATTATCATACGTAACGCGAATGGCTGCAGTGTTAATGATGCTGAGGATAACGAAATGTCAGTATATATGCCATGTCTGGATTCCTCTTGCCAACCAAAACCCCTCTGCATTCCATTCGGTTAGAAAGCACTAATGTTAGTCCTTCCTATAATGTTTTTTTCTGGCAAATCTAAATATGATGCATCTTTATTTAATCATGCCTTCAGGCCATTTTAACCTTAAAGTAGAGCAAAAGGGCCTATGTTTTAATAAAAGGTTTTGAAGTCCGTAAGGAACCTTGTTTTTTTAATAGCTACAACACTAGTGTTCCAAACTGGGACAAAACAATCTACCATATAGCCTGATCACAGACATAAAATTTCACTGCCTTTAAGGCGTATTTAATAAATTTTCACAAGAATTCCACTACGTTTGATTTAATTTTATACTCCTTCTTGACAAATGTAAAGAAGTGGAAAAAATCTACTTCAAAAACTGTGGTAAACCTTACAGTATTAACGTTACGGCATAGAATTGTGGCAGTATCACGAGCGAATGTCGGATTAGTGAACTCCGTGTATGTTATAATAGGCAACGGCGTACGCCTGCTCTTAAAAACATCCATCGTCATTGCTAAGCTGTCTATTCTGAATCCCTTTTAATAATCTTTCCTGTCGTTAATGTAACTCATATGACCTTTAAACTGATGTAAAAAAACGAAGAAATCTCATAAAATTCAACGTCCCCTGTAACTCCGAGTCAATATTCTTTGCCGGTGAGTCTGATCATTGTCTAAGGTATGCCTAGATCAGAGTCATTGCGTTGTGCGACTTTCGGACAATTTCAATATGTTCGCTGTCAGAGACCAGACGTATTCGCCATACCTGAATTAAAAACCCTGTTCGAATTGGTGTATATGAATGCAATACTTTCGGCAGTATGATGGTACAGTCCTGTAACGCAAATTGTGCGCGAAGTGTAAGTCAATGGATGGCTAACTGTCTGGAGCTTCTGTAAATAGAACCACTTGTTCTTGGTTCACAAGGTCTCGTTCTATGAAATATTTCCATTGTGGCCTAGAGATCGTTGATGAGGAATTCGGCCT